GCTACATTTCGATATCTCTTAGTTCTATGGGTCATCAGAAACTTGAGAAATATGTGCCATGATTACTTGTCACCTCTGTGCACTTGGAGAGGCTCACACACACACATATATGCACACAGCACATTTCAACGTACAGAGGGACAAGAAAATAACTTTCAAATACTTGGATATAAAATTGCCTGCCATAAAAAAAAGAAAAAAAAGAAAAAAAAAAAGAAAAGAAAAAGCTTTATACTGTGTCCATTTGTTTTGTTTCTGCTTTTTTTCAACTTAACACTCTCTTTCAAGCTTCCGCTCCTGGGTACTGCAGAAAGCTGTGTAAGCTGTGAGGAGGATGCTCGGAGGTTACTCCCAACATCGAGCTCCCCTAGCGGCTGCTTCCCTCCCACCTCCCCTGCCTGGACAGAAACACCTCGGTTGGGATTTTCCCCACTCATGATCAGAAGGAAGTGGCTGAAAAGGGATGTGGATCACAATCCAAGAAGGAAAAAAAAAAAAAAAAAAATTATAATCATTCCTACCTGGAGGTTTTGGTATGGGAAAATGTTGGGTTATTCAAGAAGCAAAAAGACCTAGAAGAGAAACGAAAGAGTTTCTCTATAAATCTATAATCACACACTATGTATTGCCCTGCTGAGGATACAAGGAACCCTGTGGGAAACTTTGCTTTAAAGTCTGAGTTAACAGTAAATATACACTCAAAACATAGATAACAGTGTCTTATGAATCATGCTGCCTACATTATTTTTGCGTGTATGATGGAAGGCTTTATTGACTATATTCAAGCCAATGATTAGCATTAATCCACTAGCAGATGGATACGAAAACTGCAAAATCAATGCACGTAGACACAGTTATTCTGGAAAGCAACCATTTTCTGCCTCTCCATGTGCACAGAATATTTTTTCCTATATTAGAAATGCTTATAGACTATTACCAGACTAAAGGCATATCGAAGCAGAATCCGGGCTTCAGTTGCGTGACTCCCTGAATTTTGCTGACAAACAAAAGTGGGTGGAAAACTAGGAGCTTAATTCTTCCTGTTGGTGCCAGGGCTTTGTTTTTTTGGCAGGAAATTCCAAGGAATAAGACCTATTCTGCTTGTCACTGTAAAGGTATCATTGCCAGCTAGCCAGTAATTCTGAACTGAAATTTCTAAATTGATTTTAAAGATAGATATTGCAATACCACCAGGGTAGGTAATGAGGGATGTGTAATAATTCCTTTAAATAAAATAGTTTAACATCTTCATGAAGGAGGGTGGGGTATATAAAAGAAACAAACAAAGCTTCAGATGAAAAGCCTGCCTGAGTCTCCTTCCATTTACACCAGTTTTTCTCTAACATAACCTCTGATTTCACTGAAGGTATTCATGATTTACCTCTCTGTCAACTATCACTTTGGTATCAAATTTCTTGGGAAATATCATAGGGGCAAAAAGGCTACAAGAATGAAGCTTTAACACTCTAAAAATGGATAATTTATTAAAAACTCTTATATTAAGGGTGAGCACAAATGGTGACTGTGAAGGGTGAGAAGTAATCAAGACTCGGTTAAAAGCTACACAAAAATTTGCCTCTCCAGTTTCCTGAGGGAAACATCCTGTATTTTGGGATTCATCAACCAAAATATACAGGCATAAGAAAACTCAGGGAGTTTAAAATGGCCAATGAAGAACCTCGCTTGTGCAGTCTGAAACCTTCCCTGGCTTTATGCAGAGCAAACAGCCAGCAGCAAGTCCAGATTTCAAAAAAAAAAAAAAAAAAGAAAGAAAGAAAGAAGACAAATAATAGCTGAGATTCTCAAATAGCTTGGCTTGGGCCCGGGTGCACCCACTGCTGCCCTTCCTCAGCCCGGGTCTGGTGGGGATGGCCCAGGCCAGTGTGGTCCCACAGCCCCATGTGGCCCCGCAGGGTGGGGAGAGCCTTGGAGCTGCCAGGGGGTTTGGCAGAGCCACTGGAAGAGCGCGTACATCAGTGAGGAAATCTGGGCCAGGGTCTGTGATGAGTGATTGCAAAAGAGTGAGAAAAATAGGACTCTGTGGGGTCAGTGGTAGATGCCCCTGGCATTGCGGTGCTTGTTGCACCCAGGAGAACCAAAGGTCCAGATGACGCAGGGAGGTCCCCACCACCCTACCAGAACTGTGGGGCCCAACAGGGAGCCCAGCAGCAGGTTCATGAGGAACCCAGCTGTGTGGGCAGGGGTGGTGGAGCGAGTGAGATTGCAGCCAGGGGCCCTCCCTGGTACCCTCACCCTGGGCTGCCCTGAAGGGACCCTGGAGGCCTCTCCCCAGGTGGGGCAGCAGCAGCTTTGGTTTGTGGTGGCACAGGCACAGGGGCGCAGGGCATCCTAGTCTTCACTTCAGAAGACTGGGACTGCCCCAGCATCCCTCCCCAGGGAGCAAAAGAACTGCCTGCAGGTTCTTGGGGGACACTGGGATGCAGCATTGAGGCATTGCTGCCCGACGGGTGGCTGCTGTTGTTGTTTGTTTTGGGGTTTTTGCTGTTGCTGTTGTTGTTGGTGGTTGTTGTTGTTGTTAAAACGTGGGTGCGGGCAGGGGTGCGGGTGGGCCGGGCACTGATGCTCCCCTCAGCAGTGAGGGCTGGGGGTGCCAGGGACAGGGACATCTTGGTGAGAAACATGCTCCCCTGCCTTTGCCCGCTGGTGGAAGTTTGGGGGCGGCCCGGGGGTTGTTTTTCCCTAGAAGCTGTGGCATTTAAATTA